TGAATTCTGCCAAGTTAAGCAGAACCTGAAGGATTTCGGGGGGGATGTTGGGCGAAGTAAGCGCTTTCTCGATTGACCGGACTAGTTCCTCTTGATACTGATCATACAGCTCCGTCCAGCATGAGACGAAGGCAGCATTGAAAAGGTCCCTTGCTAGTGGCTGATAGATGCCAGCTAAGCTGGCGCACGCGCGTAGAGCCGGGGAAGGGGATTCTTTTAGCAGTTCCACGCTGAAACGTCTTATCCATTCCTGCCAATCCTCTCGAGTGGATTTTTGAGAAGCATCCCAAGCACTCTTAAGATGTTGCTGGTTGACAAGCATTTTCTTCTGCCCAATCTCTGCATAATTGGCGTCATCTGCAAGAGTTGCATAGTTTTCATCAGGGTTGTTAAGATCCTGCGGAAGAGGATCTCCCTTCTGTAACTTGGTCACCAGCATGTGGTAGTTGCTATGACTGACCCCATGCGCCTTCAAGACTTTGTTCAAAAGATGTATGTAATGGTTGAAGTCTTGGCCGAGCTGGAGGATAAGTGCACAGATACAATCCATGGCAGCCTGGCGTAAGGTGCGGTCACTACCAGCAACCACGCGTGACAAAGAGTGAACCATCAGGGATGCAAAGTCCGAAACATTGACTTGGCGTGATAGCTTCGTTAAAGTGTCGATAGCGGACTTTCGTATACTGGTCGGATTTTGTGTCCGGTCAAACAGGCGCACGATAGATGGCACAATAAGATGCATATACTCCTCGCCGCTAGGGCCAAATATCAGGAAGGTGTGTAGGATCTTCTCAGAGGGTTGTCGGCGCGGTGTAGTGTCCTTTTCGAATGTGTCAAGCATGGGCGGGATAAGTCCTGCAAGATACTTCTTGAATTCCCCTTCCAGAGATTTTGCTATTGCTTCAACCAAGGAAAGGATTGTGGCCTGGACTTGATATGAGGCATCCCAGAAATCACGAACGACTTCAATTATCTCTGGAAGGAAAGCCCGTATGTGTTGTCGTACAATATTCACCAAGACTGCCAGCTGATTGAAGTAAGACTCGAGACGGCTTGGGGGAGACCCTCTGATGACGGAAATAAAGCCCGGGATGATCTGTCCAAGGAAGGGCACGCACTTGAGACCCAACGTCTTGAAGATCGTGACGATTGCATCGATGACTGCAGAATGGTACTGAGCAAGGGAGTTCTCACGCAAGATGTTCTGCATTAGTGTGTTGATGACCACTGTCGGATAGTATTCGTCGTTAGATGGTGTCAAGCCCTGCATAATGAGAGCGACATCGGAGACGGTCTGCACCTCATTGATGTGATGAATATCTGGCGCAGTTTCGCTGATTTGCTGATACTTGTAGGGATCCAAGGCTCCCAATATTCCTAAGACTTTGATGGTTTCCTTGCGAAGGGATCCGGTTTGTTCCGTCTTGATGATGTTGATCAGGACTGCAAGGAGGTGAGAGTACTCGAGGTACGGATCTATGACATATCCGGAATTACTAGCCAATTGTCCGAGAGTTCGCAAGGCTGCCTCTCGCTTCGCATGAGACGAGAGATCCTGCAATGCATCGAGAATAATTGGCATCAGTTGCGGCAGGTACGTTTTCATTTCGCTACCGCCAACGCTTGCGAGCTCCCCGACAGCCTTGAGAGTTGTCGATGCGACGCCCGGATTTGCATCAGTTGCTTTTGGCAGCAATGTAGTGATCATCGGATCTACGTAGGATCTGATGAGCTTCGTAGCATTCGAAACAAAGAGACTGATCAGCTGGGCACTCTCTTCCTTCTGACGAGCAGTGCTTGCGAAGCCGAGACTTGTCAAGAGATTAACAAGCAGTTTTCGGAGTGGTGGAAAGACATATGCCGGGTTAACGCTGGACAAGCGACCGATGATGCAGATAGCAGCCTCTCTGACGGGGAACACTTCATCATTGACTGCTAGAAAGAGGCAACGAATATTCTCCGGTCTGGCAAGATGACGGTCAAACTTCCGGTCCAAAGACCATAAGACTGTCCGTCGGATCTCGGGGTCAGGATCTCCCACGCCGACTGTGAGAAGTTTGTCGATAACTTCACTGACAACTTGTATCGAATGACTACTTGTTTGATTGATGATGGGGTCATGGACAAACAATTGACAGCAAGTGAGTGCGGATGCCTTTCGAATTTCGGGATTGTCATTCTCGACATAATTGATGGCTACATCACGAACAAATTCGTTGAGAATATGTCCCGAGAAGTCGAAGCTCCCCAGAGTGTGAAGTGCAAGTGCGATTTCGGTGTCAGAATGAAGTTCCTGAGGTCCGAAATCCCTGGCAAAGGAAGGCATGGGTGGCAATCTGCTCTCAGGACAACCCAACGGTCGGAAGGGGGTACCATAGAGAATCAGGCTCAGCATATCCAAGAGTTTCTCTTGAATTATCGGCTTGATAGGAGGGATGTAGTGGGCCATATCGACCAGAGCTTGGGTAAGAGACTCGCTCAACCCGCATGCAAAGATAGGGTCGAGCAGTGCTTCCATGTATTTGCTGAGTGCCTGTCCCACTGCCAGCGACAACATGCTGATACATTCGAACATCGGTGCTTCATTTACGGCAGCTCGATTGCGGCTTGTATAAGTTAGCTTTGCTGATGTTCAGGATGTTGCGCAGGGGCAGGAAATGCATCTTACGCTTTCATAGCAAGGCCTTCTCGGATGTAAACAATGATACCATCGAGGTATTGTGCGATAGCAACACCGACAGCGTTGGCGATCTTTCCGATTGCAATAAATGCAGAGTTCCTTTCCTTATCTCTTTTGAGTTGCGCTTGAAGGTAGATCATGAATCTATGTAGATAGGTTTCTGTGAAGTCGAGTGGAGCATAAGAGGCGAGGATCGGGATGGTCAAAACAACTTGGGTGCGTATCTTGGGATCACGGTGATCTTTGAGGCGAAGAACAATCTCGCATGCATTCCGGTAATGTTCGTTCATAAACATGGCACCTTTCAGAAGTAACTCTTTTAGCACTAAAAGCGATCCATGGATCCAATCCACGTTGCTGGATTTGAGACCCAGCAGTGCCTCTTCGTAGATTCGTGCGAACCATAGTTGCCGAACTTGCATATCTCTGGCAGCAATGATTTCGAAGCATTCGCTGACGGCCTCGGCTGCAGTTTCTCGGATAAGGACCTTGGGGTCGCGAAGAGCGACCCAGATGAGCTCGAATATCTGGGAGACAAAGCCATAGAGCAGCGTCGGTGAGCCTTTGGCAAGCTCGCGGATAACAAGTACCGCAGCGAACCGCCTGCTTTCCTGCCGCTCAGACTGAAGAGCCTCTAGAGCAGATTGTATTTCACTCTCGACCAATTCTGCCGTAAGAGCTCCACCGGGCTTGGCCAGACGGCCAAGTGCCCGAGCTGCGTACACCAAGACCGCAGTATCATTGCTTCGTAGGGCATTACGAAGATAGCTTGCAAATCGAGTTGTCTTCTGAGCCGCGTCCACACCATCGAAATCTATTAGGCGATCGAGAGCCAATAGCCCGCCAATCTTGTCGTGTGCGTCATTGCCGGTAACCACGAGCTGTGCAATGCGCTGGCTAACTGCGTTGAAGAACTCGAGAAACTTCTCTGGAGGCCAGTCTATTACCAAAGAGCGAAGTATTAGCCTTATTTCTTGTGCGACCGATACCGAAAGTGTTACCTCGTGAGATGGCAACGACGTTGTCGTAAAGCTCATAAGCAGCTCGCACCCGCGTTTCCTCGTTCTTAGACTTCAACTCGATGAAGAGTCGTTGAGTGACGTCCGTGATAGGACCTGCTTGCGCCATATTGCGTACCACACCCCAGGGTGGACATTTGAAGTCAACCTCTAGGGCATGCACGATGACACGAGTTGGACATGGGGTGGAGAGCCGATATGGGTGGCCCTGAGCGATGCGGGAGGTGAGGTCGACGGCCTCCGGAAACCCGTGCACGGACCAGTTATGGCCTGAGGCACTGAATTCAGTATGAAATGCCTGGTTGGGATCCAAGTATGCAGACTCGCCCGCTGGAGTGGGATACTATGATTTCTATCTGAAAATAGTTGAATTCACCCCTGCCCTTCATAATTACAATTATTTCTCGGATTTATGCTTCAACAGCCATGTCAGTGGCCAAGCTTAAGCTAGGCTTATGTTTTTAATTATGGTCATGGCGACCTCTGTCATAAGCCATACCCAAATTTCCACCCTCGCAATTGAATATGCCTTCGACTATGTGAATTAACGGGTCTCAATCGTTCGGTTAATCGGCTGTTTCTAGTGGCAAAATAAGCATTGCAACGCGCTCGGCTATGGGGATGAAATATGCACTTGAGCATGCCACTAAAGTATCAGTTCGATCTCTAGAAGTTTTCTTGTTGTTGTAATCATGGTTGTAGTGAGACTAAAGCATCATCCATGTAAACTTTTTTGAGGCAGGCAACTAGGCCCTTTCCAAAAGTACAACATTTGGATAGTTGTTCGCCAAGCATACGGGACAGTGCAGACTAGACGAATCTTACGGAGGGCGGCGGCTGCATCTGTAGCTGAAGATGACCAAATAATTTCTATGACTAGGTTCTGGGATGAGAGTTCGGTGCCAATGTCATCATCAAAAGTCCTGCTTTTGATTGCCATAGGTAAACGGGGTCACTTACCTGATCTATTTTCCCAGGTACATCAAAGACCACGATCAGGGACTAAGAAACGCTGTTATCGTAAATCCGGTCTAGAGTGCTTATCCGATAACGCAATGTCAGCGAATCTGCCTCCCTTAAATCCGCCTACAGGCGCTTGGGGCAGACTCAGTGGACAACGGCCAACAGCCAACAGCCAGCCACAATTTGAACCCTGGTAATGTCGCGGAGCTAGATGGCCATCTCCTACTATCTAGTCGCGATCTGTTTCCAGTATTTGTAATCAGAGTGGGCGCCTATCGAGCTCGTATGATATGACCAACAGTGGATCGTAGTGGGGGGCATATAGTTCGTCATTTGAGGGGTAACGGTGCATCCCCAGGTATTAAAAGGGCAAGGAAGTCACCCCTCGAGATATCCCAAGGGAGTCGAAAACTACCTCCGAAACCTGCTCATTCCAATTCAGAACAAGCAAGACTAGTACCCCTATACTCAAGATGCCTAAAGTCCTTCTTACTGGTAAGAAAGGCCCGGCTCATAGTGCTTGCTGTGGAGAAGACTGACATTCTGTCTCAGGAGGTAGTGGCTTCATTGCTGCTCACATCATCGACAATCTTTTGGAGCGTGGGTGAGTGCGATGGATTTAAGTTGGGGTTTATTCGAATGCTCATTGAAACCCCCAATACTGTAGATTTGATACAGTCGTTACGGTGCGGTCCGATGAAAAAGGCCAGAAAATCCTTAATGCGCATCCAAACACGCCAAAGGAGAAGCTCTCCTACATAATTGTTCAGGATGTTGCAGCAGATGGCGCGTTTGACGAGGTATGGCCGATGTCGTTTCTCTACTTGTGCCATGGCTAAGCATTCCTGAATTTAGGCTGTTAAATCCGATCCGCCCTTCGACTATGTTCTACACACCGCATCGCCATTTCACTTTAACATCTCAGACCCTGTGAAGGATTTTCTGGAGCCAGCCGTGAAGGGTACTACTGGCATATTGAAAGCAATCAAAGCCCATGCTCCAACTGTCAAGCGTGTGGTGGTCACCTCATCCTTCGCTGCAATCGTCAATCCTAAAGCACATGCGAAGGTTTACAGTGAGGAGAACTGGAACCCTGTAACGTGGGAGGAGGCGATGGATCCTGCTCAAACATACAGAGCAAGCAAGGTGAGATGCACCTGTCTGTCATTTAGAGCCCTAATCCACGGTAAGGTAGCTGCCTTACTGACCTTCTTGCTTGCGTACAGACATTTGCTGAAAAGGCCGCTTGGGAATTCGTTGAGAAAGAAAAGCCAAACTTCGACATTGCAACCATCAACCCACCTCTGGTCTTCGGCCCTGTTGTTCCCTACCTGAATTCTTTGGACGCCATCAACACTTCTAATCAAAGACTTGCAAACCTGGTCCAAGGGAAATTCAAAGATGGGCTTCCTCCTACGGGTACGTTCTTGTGGGTAGATGTCCATGATGTCGCATTAGCCCACGTTAGGGCTATTGAGGTTTCTGAGGCCGGTGGCCAAAGGTTTTTCACTACTTCTGGCTACTTTACCAACAAAGAGCTTGTGGAAGTGGTACGAGAGTCGTTTCCCGAGGTCGCAGACAAGCTACCCTCAACGGATGCGCCTAGCGACCTGCCTGATGATGTGTATGGCTACGACAACAAGAAGTCGATTGAGATTCTAGGTATTCAGTATCGGCAACTGAGGGAAACGGTTGTTGACACTGTTAAGTCAATTCTCAGCGTTTCTGCGTGATCATATATGATGTTGTGCCACGTATTATCGATCTGAAAGAGCTAGTAAGTGTTAACTACATATTCAAGACCTTATGACCTGAGTACTCCACTTCAAAAATACCATGAAAAGACACGGAAAGGTTCCGAAACGCTCAGCATTGAAGAATCATGACCGAAGCCTACTTTAGATGCAGCAACGTTGATTGTGAGAGTATCATAACTTTCAGTTTGAAGAAAATGTTATACTATACCGTTCAGATAGCTCATTCAGCTCTATAGGAGCCCTTCACTGTTTGCGTTGAGAAAATGCATCTCATTGTGCTGTCCTGGCCTTGAGACTCTGAGACCTTTCAAAGCATCATATTGATATGTGCAGACGTCTGGGAGGTAGATCTTATAACCAGCCATGTAGATGGAAAACCCGCCTTTGAATCTTTGAAGATAGCTTAAAGCTTATAATATGCCAACATTCCTCAGTCAACAATGGTCTCTCAAAATGGTGTTTAACACCTTCTATGTAGCAAACATTCTACCAAGCTGAAGCGCCTCGCATATTGGTGAAACCCTTCTACCTTATCTCGAAGCACCGACTTCAAAGAAACCCGACAGCTGCTGTCGATTTTCTACCACATACAATGTTTGCAAATCAGATATCAGATGCGACGTCGGTCTAGGTACCGTGGATAGTGTTTTGTATAGCGGTATTCAGACCACCAAAAGATATTAATCAGATGAGATACTCAGATAGGCCCTGGTACCATATGGGCAAATCAGCACCACCTACGGAAGAAGGATTTACAATCTCGTGGCTTGACATCGCAGCCAACAGGCTTTACAACCCTGCGCCAAGTGAACGGGTGATCAGGTGCATGATGTGTCGTTGTGGGCTGCCGTAACCCACGGCTTGGCGCGGCCGTAGAGGATTGCCCGCTACAATCAACTTTTCTCCAGCTTCCTCAGCAAAGAGACCACCCGCACAACGTCCCAGCCATCAGTCCCGCGCCATGGTGACAGCCAGGCTATCCCCGACAGCAAACTTGCTGCGGAAGTCTCGCGTGTTTGCACTTCCGCAGGCCTTGGCTCCGCCTCAAGAACGACCAACTTCGAGGCAGGTCTTTGAATCCGATTCCGCAACCCTTCCTCACCCAATTCGAGCGGCCATTGTCACACCTTCATCTTCTCTTCTGAAGGGTGACTGGGGTTTGAAGAGACCCTTGCCGGCAAAGACAACGTCCGCTAGATCCTCACGGCCTGTGGTTCGACTCAATGCTTTAGACACCTTTGAACATACCACGGATTTCGAATCAGCGGCGGATCATACGGTGACCTTGGAGAAGTTTCAAGAGCTCCATTTGCCGATGTCCCTTCCTGAGAAAGTCAGCTACTCCAGCAACATGGCTCCTCGGCACTCGAGTCCTTTCGAAGCCCGTTTGGACAACACCGAAAAAAGCAACGGCCTCAGAGACCCGGCCGCCAAAAAGTTCCGGCATTCTGGACCATACCTCGCCAGTCAGACGGAGGCGGAGTTCCAGGCCTACTTGGATACTGTGCGCAGGGACAAGCCGAAGATCATGAAAAAGTTGCGCAGTTATTTCCTCGCAAAGAAAAAGGCCGAGCGAAGAAAGCAGGCACAGGATAGCGGAGATTTTGCGGGCATCGATGAACCCTTCGTATTTGATGCGGAAGAGTTCCAGGCATATGTCAAGTCGCTGCGTACGGATCCATTCAGCCTAGGCCCAGTGATCTTCCAAATCCTGGATCTCCCACCACCTCCTATGATACCTTCCGACCTGATTGGAAAGACCTATTACCTACCTCCTGCCCCCCAACTGTCTGCTCCTGAGTATGTTGCGTCCGGACCTCCGAAGACGCACCCCTCCGCAGGATTATCCTACACCAGGTCTCACGCCTTGGTCTACAACCATCCCAGATTTGGACCTCAGACTTATCAACGTCCTGTTGAGGCACGTGTCTTGCGTCCCAAGGGCAGGTTCAAGAACAAGGGAGGAAATGCGGTTGGCGGTGTTGCTGGTATCGTTGTGGAAGATCTCAACGCCATGGCCTTCACTGAATATGACGGGCCAGCTGGCATTGATCAATTTGACGTCTCCATCCCTGGTGGTGCCAAGTACTGGGTCAACCCTATTCGGGCTTCCATTAATTCACACGGTCGCATTGATTTGGCTAGTTACCGCGCTACCGTTACGTCTAGAGCCCCATACGGAATCACAGAGTACCAGAAGCCGAGAATAATGAAGGCGCCCCGTTACGTCGCTCATAGTGGCCAGCGGCAGGTGCCGAGGTTGGATAGAGCTCGCCCCCAGACCGGCACATTCTCGGCGTCGGAGGACTTGGGCTCCCCAGCGGATAATCCGGAGGCTCTCGCACGGGATCTCATGAAGAGCTTTACCTAAGCATGAGCGAGAGCTGTCTGATTTAGTGATATTGTTTCTTTCTATCTCGATGGTGCAGCTTGTTTTTGCAGCTATTGGGGAGCTGTGCGGTCTGTATGAATATGCGGTTTTCTGGTCGATGTAGAGCTACTCCTATTCTTTCTTTCTTTTTCTGTTGTATAAGCACATTGCAGTCCATACATAGTAGCAGTTTCACCTGTTGCCAAACCATTCTCAAGTTCTGAAACGCTCCCCTGGTCCCCAGTTAACTCGTAATGGCTCCTTTGACTACCAATGAGAAATTTCAGTATAAGTTGTTAATGTACCGAGTGATATTAGATAGTTTGTTCCTGTTACGTATAACTACTGGTGACTGACTGAGTAATTGGTCAGCCACAAATGCTGATTAAGCATTGGTTGAGAGCAATGATCACGTGTAGATAGTTAGGGCTGACCGGCAGGGCGACTGCCAGCACGTGACCCGCACACGGCTAAGCGAGGACGGGTGTCTTTGAGGATCGGGAGACATAAGGAATCTTGGTCGGAGTTTCGAACATCCATCCAGCCAGCAACAAACCGCCAAAATGGGTCGCGTCCGTACCAAGGTGAGCAGAGACCGCACAGAAATCGCGTGCTGATGCCACGATTCTAATGATTTTCGCCGTGTAGACAGTCAAGCGTTCCGCTAAGGTCATCATCGAGCGTTACTACCCCAAGTTGACGCTCGACTTCGAGACCAACAAGCGCATTTGCGATGAGATCGCTATCATTGCCTCCAAGCGTCTCCGCAACAAGGTTAGTCGGAATCCGCGCGCGCCTCGAAAGAAGCTAGAAAAATCCGGAGTGGATCGCTGATTTTTGTTGGAATTAGATTGCTGGTTACACTACCCACCTTATGAAGCGTATCCAGCGTGGCCCTGTCCGCGGTATCTCCTTCAAGCTTCAGGAGGAGGAGCGTGAGCGCAAGGATCAGTACGTTCCTGAGGTCTCCGCTCTGGATGTCTCCCAGACCGAGTCCGGCCAGCTCGATGTCGACGCCGACACCAAGGATCTCCTCAAGAGCCTCGGTGTAAGTTTTCTCCCCACCATGAATAAGATAAGGGAGAAGTTGAAGCAAGCTAATATGTCTCGCCTCTTCTAGTTCGACAACCTCAAGGTCAACGTCGTCAACGTCACCCAGCAGCAGGTCCAGGAGCGCCCCCGTCGCTACCGGTAAATCTGTGCGCCCTCGAGCGGAAGATGAAAAAGTTTTACGATTGTCTTGGGTCGATCCATGGCGTTTTCATGCTTGTTCTGGCAGGCTTCCAGCTACCATTGTAGTCTAGAAACAGACTCATGAGGAATGAACATGACTTTCGTCAAACAAGGTGTCGCCGATTCTCCTGACGGAGATGACGCTTGATTGCCAATTCACTTCCCGTTCAGCAGCTGGTCTCACGGCCGGTTGCTGCGTAGGAATTCCATATTTCATCGCCAATCGGACAGCCATGTCTTGTGATCCTATGATCGATGCTGTTGCCGATCTTCAGCGGTGCTATATCGTCTTAGATTTTGTAGATTGCTATCCTATCTGGGTATCATCCTGGAATGCAACGCCCCTTGTAATGCCAATGGCTCCATTCAATCATTACTGCCATTTTTGCCCTCGGCAGGCTCAATGATCACGAGGCACATATCCTTCGATCGAGCCTCCTTTCTCGTCTCCGGGGCGCATCTGCGGTGCCGTCACTGGGCCAGCAGCGCGACTGCTCTCCTGCACGTTGACATCCACGCGACCCGTGTACAATGCCGGGTGAGCATCGCCACGCTCAAGGGCAAGCTCCTGCGAACGTGCGTCATCACGAACCGACAGCTTGGCCATGTGATCGAACACGTCGCTGGAGCTTGGTCCCTCGTGCACATGCAAGTCCCCTAGCTGACCGGTAACCTCGTTGACGCTGGCCGCGCTCCGCATCTTGCCCTTTCCTTGCTGCTGTGTTCGGGCCCGTTCCTCTTCGAGGAGTAGGATATGGGCGCCGTGGGCATCGTCCGCTCGTCGTTCCCACACCGGTTGCTCGGCGAGCTGCACTCGGATGAACATCGCCCGTTCCGCACACGCATCGGAGCACCACATCTCCAACTTTTCTTTCGGGACGATGTTCATCTCGCGCCCGCGCCCGCCGGGCCCGCTGCCCTTCGCGCCCCACGTGATGCGAAAGGCGCCGCGAGAGTCCTCCTTGCGATGTTCATGGGGGCAAAGAGTATACCCGCACAGTCCTTCTATGTTTCGTTCCAAAATCAGATTATCGTAATCGGCGGGTTGGAAGGGCGTCAATGCAGACTTGAAGGCCCGAGCATCTTCGGGGGACGGGGAGCTGGGATCCGCGGATGGTGAGGTGGGGAACTGGACGAGGTCGAGGATGCGATCGAGAATGAGCGCCTCTGCATCCTTTTGAGCTTGGATCTGGCGCGCATGGTGCAGCGCGATCGCCATCTGACGGGGATCAGCGCCGGGTCTGGATGTTAATGGTCCTTGCTCCTGTCGTGACATGCCGGCTTTGGGTGGCGATTGGCGAGCGGTCGCAGGGTTTGAGCGAGTCAACGAAGCGGAAGCTGCGTGCGCGGATGGAAGTGAGGTTTTGAGTACTTGTCGACCCGAGGACATGTTTACGGAGAGATTATATATACAACTTGAGAAAGAAAGAACGGGAGGGAAGACGGATATGAGGTGAATAGTCAGTCGGATGGAAAGGGAAGGTCGGAATGAGAGTTGCACAAGGTTCAAATTTGGTCGGGTCGGCAGGAGGCAAAAACCCCGGATTGAAAGGGAAGCTAAGCGCACTCAGGTAACAACACCCACATGGATGACGATGAGGTTGGTTAGTCCTCCCTACTCATACTTATGACCTGCTAACTGCTGCATAATCACTTATCGGTGGCCAATTGCGACTGTAATCAGGAGATCAGGAGAAGAATGAACAACATGTGCACCTGGCAGCCACCCAATTTAGGTGCCCGTCTACTTGTGAGGTTCCCAACGTGTGAAATGTGGTGTTTGATTGATTGATTGATTGGCAATGGAATCGGTGGTGGATGACCGGTTCAGCCTCTGCTCAATCTTATTAGCCGCCGATCGCCCCCGTGGTGGAGCTGCTTGTGAGAGCGGGCGAGCAAGAGAATGAGTGAGAGAGTAAGAGAGAGAACTTAGAGAAGTGAAGGAGGACTAAGGAGGGTCCGTCTGTCTGTAACGAGTCTAACGACTTTGTAACTACACCTTAGTCTACTTGTCGTAACTGACTGTACTTGCCTTACATTTCCGTACATCCTAGTCTATCCTCTCTGTTCATTCCTCCCTCTCCCTCTCCCTCTCCTCCCCTCCTCCCCCAAAATCCCCCCCCCGCTCATCATTCCCTACTTTCCGCCTCTGTTTCTCAATTCCTCCTCTATAGTCCCTCTCTTCCTACCTTCCCTTTTTGTGAAATAATTCATCATCTCATGGACAGTGTGTCCTTTTGACTGCAGTAAGTTTCTCACTAGCCTGGATCCCACCAGCTGTCCTTCTGGCGGTGTGTGAGCGAGCGTGTCCGATCCCACCCCCTCCATCGGCCATGCTCTGACGTACGTCAGTCCACCAGGCTGACATATTCTTATTGTTATTTCCTTGTCCTCAAAGCAGACCACCTCGCAGTGAAGCACATCTCGCATATGTTTAACTGCATAAAGCCGTACATAATTTAGTGCTTTTGCCTGCAGATATCCCGCCTGTCTCTTCGATTCGATCCATTCCTCCAATCCCAACTTGAAGTCATCCATTCCACCTCCGTGACGGGAACCTTCAACTTGCCGCCAAATGTCCGGTCCGCCATTCACGGTCAGAGCGGTCTTCGAGTATTCTTCGGACCACGATGACGACCTTAATTTCGCTATCGGACAGATCATAACCGTCACAGCTGAGGAAGATGCAGAGTGGTACTTTGGTGAGTATGCGGACGACTCCGGGCGCAAAGTAGAGGGCATTTTCCCCAAGAATTTCGTCGAAAGATATGAGCCCCCTGCACCCCCGCGACCGACTCGTCCCAGCAGACCCAGGAAGGAAGCAGAGCCGGTTCCGCCACCCCCGGAGCCTGCTGCTGCAGCTGCAATCCCTGCTCCAGAGAGTTCCTACCACCCCGAGCCCGAACCCGAGCCCGAGCTTGAATCTGAGCCTGAGCCAGAGCCAGAGCCCGGGGTTGTGAAGACACCTGCAGCCGTACCTCAGCCACCCAGCTCTCCCCCTCCAGCTCTAGCATCGCCGGCAAGTGAGATTCCTCCGTTTAAGCCGGTAGCAGCTCCCGTTCCCCATCCTTCGACGAGGGATGCTGGTGAACCCGTTCCTAAACCGGTATCCAAGCCGCCGCCTCCCGCTGTCGCCGAGAAGCCTACCGGGTCGTCTTTCAGGGATCGTATTGCGGCGTTTAACAAGCCTGCTGCGCCGCCAGTTGCGCCTTTCAAGCCAGGCGGGCTTTCTCAGAGCTCCAACACGTTTATACGGAAACCGTTTGTTGCACCGCCACCTAGTAAGAACGCCTATGTACCTCCGCCCAGAGAGCCTCCCCCGCAGAAGGTATATCGCAGAGAAGAGGATCCTGATGTTCAAGAACGAGTAACGAGAGAACTTCCTACGCGAGAGCCTCCTGTGTCTGAGGCTCGTCCTCTGTCGAGTGATGGTCCGGAAGAAGGCGCGGAGGATCAGCCCAAGCCAACAAGTCTCAAGGAACGTATTGCGCTTCTCCAGAAACAACAGATGGAACAGGCTCAACGTCATGCCGAAGCTGCGCAAAAGAAGGAAAAGGCGAAGCGGCCTCCGAAGAAGCGTCTCGAATCCCACGAAGACACTCTTCCTACACAAGATCTTTCCACTGAAGGAGCCGAAGCACACGATCCGGCACGAGAACATGCTCATGAAGCAGTGGGACCAGCTGTGCCGCAGCCTGCGATGCCACCCCCGCCTGCGCAGGAGCTCGCCAGCGACACCAATGATGCGGATGATTCTGCTGCTGCCGACACGGAGGATGCGGAAGAAACTTCCACAAGCAAGGAAGACTCTGACGAGCGTGCCCGTGCAGAGGTTCGACGTCAAGCACAGGCTCAGGACGCGCATGCAAAGGCAGAACGCACAGATGAGCCGCAGTCAGATGACGATAACGAAGAAGCCGAAGAACCAGCGCCGGAGGGCGAGGACGAGGACGAAGAGGAGGATATTGACCCTGAGGTCAGGCGAAAGATGGAACTTCGAGAGAGAATGGCAAAGATGAGTGGTGGCATGGGTATGATGGGTTTCTTCGGGCCCCCTGGTGGTATGCCTATCCCTGGTGCGGCTCGCAAACCAAAGGCGCCTGCGCCTGCGCCTGCGGAGACGGAGAGAGCCATTGATGATGAGAGCTCCCGTCCCGCCGCAGCCCCTCCGGTCCCTATCATGGCCTTGCCTGGAATGAATGCGGGAAAGCCTCCAGTTTATCCTAATGTCCAGAAAGAGGAAGAAGTGCAGGAGGAAGAACAGGAAGAGTCTCCCGCAAGCCCGATAACTGAGCAGCATGCTGCACACGAGGTTCCTAATGTAGAGGAAGTTGTCCATGAAGAACCTCCTCAACGCCGTGTGTCTGTCGATAGACCATTTACACCGCAAGGTACGGAAGATGCTGCTTAATATCCATGAGGGCTATTGCTGACAGTCCATTCACAGAACGCGCAGTTCCTCCCCCTCCTCCACTCAACACGCGTCCGGTACCACCTCCAGTTCCTCATGAACAGCCTTTGTCCCCTCCGCCGATTCCAGGATGTAAGTTCAGTCATTCTAGTGCTCAGTATTAGTTCGCACTAACTTGGGGTAACTAGCTCAATCTCTGCCACCCCCCAAGGGGGCTGCACCCGCCGACCCAGGAGACGAATCTGATGACGAATTGTCCCTGCATCCGAACGCTACGCCGGTCACTGCAGCAGAGCAACCAGCACCTCCGCTCCCCGACCATCTCGACTCTCGCCGAGCATCGACTTACGATACAACATCTCCCTTGTCACCTACACTCCCTGCAGACAAGAGAATGAGTCGCCCTCCTCCCCCGGTACCAGTCAATCCCCCAGTTCCATCCCAGAGTAGACCAATCCCGCCCCCTCCTCCAGTCAATATTCGGCGAAGATCTACAGCCGACAGTGGGGCAAGTATGACTTCGCAGCCCCGCCAAGCGGGAGAGGGTATTGAAGGCGAAATAACTGAATATGATGGCGACTACGACACGGACATTGCATCCGGTGCCAAGTTCAAGGATGCTCTAAAGTCACACGGCCGCGATTCTAGCCTCGACGAAGGTGTCATGACCGACGAACACTCGCTTCGATCTCCTGGAAGCCCGCCCCAGACCCGTCTCCCGCCTCCCCCTCCTCTGTCTGCCCCACGAGCAGTGCCCCCTCCGCCGCCGATCCAGCCTCCAAAGAGTTCCGGCAGAGACTCTATCCAGTCGCCTAGAGGACCCCCACCTCCTCCACCGCAAAGAGAGCCTTCATATGGCGGTGACGATGATGAGTATGATCCTTACCGTTATACTGCTCCCCAGCATGGCGTGCCTGTCTCAAGAGCACCACCACCGCCACCAATCCCCAGCGGCCCGGTGGAAGCTCCACCTATGCCTCCTCGGTCTGCTGAAGACGAGTCCGATGATCTTTATGAAGCTTCACCCGTTCAACCTTATGGCGAGACATCAATTTCGTCGCCTCGTGAAAAGCGTACCTCGATGGCTCCTCCGCCCCCTAGTCTACCTCCGCCTACACCTCGCAGCAACCGTGCATCGCTGGACATTCCAAGAGCCCAGCCCAGTGTCCGGAGATCTATGGATGTTTCCCGTCCATCTATCGATTTAGGCTTTATTGCCACGGACGTTGACTTGGCAGAGAACACTCTTTGGTGGACGCAACCCAATACCCCTCCTCCTGTCTTCCAGAATCGCAAGGATGTTCTTCTCGAGTTCGAGGAGTCAAATTCCTCCAAGCGGGGCGGTAAAACCACTGTGACCAAGGATGTTTATATCTTGTTCATCGACTACTCCCAAACTGTTGTATCTGTGAACTTTGATGCTCGCAACCCTAGTGATGCGGCCCTTGAACAGCGCCACGAGGCGCCTCCTCATCAGCCGCGTCAAGATCAACTCGAAACTGCCCACAACCAGATTGGCACGCGCATTGCGAATGCAGTTAATGGCATCCAGAACACTACTGTCGCGGATGGCACTCCACATGGCCTGGTGCAGCATCTGCTCAGTCCTCTGTCTGATGTCCTGCTTCCTGTTGGCACGCGCGCCTACGGTGCTCTTGTTTACTCGAACCTGGCCAATGCCTCAGTGCAGCAAAATGATGAGATCCGGGCAGGAGATGTTGTGACTTTCCGTAACGCACGGTTCCAGGGCCACCGTGGCACCATGCATCAAAAGTACAGCTCCGAGGTTGGCAAGCCCGATCACGTAGGCATTGTGGTTGACTGGGACGGCACCAAGAAGAAGATCCGCGCTTGGGAGCAGGGCAGAGAAAGCAAGAAGGTCAAGATGGAGAGCTTCAAGCTGAATGACTTGCGGAGTGGAGAATGTAAGGTGTGGCGTGTGATGCCTCGGAGTTATGTTGGCTGGGATAAATAAGGAAGACGCACTGTGCGGCCCTCGAAGACTCGTGGAGAGCTCTGCTGGTATGTGTACTGCAGATAAGCTTGCCAGGAGGTCTGTGTGAGCCTTGGGGTGGTGTTGTTCTATGATCTGCTTCCATATATTACCTACCTTTCTTGTTGTACCTATCTATCCATTGAATGTCGTTCAGTGCAATTGCCAAAGCACTGCGATGATTGTTGTTTTAGTTTTGCTGTCGGCGTACTCCATTACATCAAGAACTGCTGAATCTTAGAGAATGTCCCCCTCCCACTATTGTTGCCAGGATTACTCTAGCTTCTTGTGAGTCACTACACCGTACCATGTACTCAATAATTTCTGTACAGTACAGTAGCTGCATGATTCATGCAATGGCCACGGCCAAAGGCACTCACTCAGTAGTAACAGTACAGTTGGGCAGAAAGTGCGACCCGCAGTGGCGTTCATGGCACATGCAGTCCGCTCCGGCCACCGCCCCCGGGCCCCGACTCGACTCGAGACCGGACCCATCCGTCCTGATTAGGAACAGCAACCCACCCACTGCAACTCATCGTCATCCTTCCATCCATCTTTTCTCCTTACAACACCCTGCCAACAAACCACCCACCACTCCTACCACACCCCCATCCCCATCTTCATCTAGTTCGCAGCAGTAACCGCAAAGATGGGTGGTGATCTCAACCTCAAGAAGTACGTCCTCTCTGCTCCCCACCTTCCCTTTCAGATTCTCCGTTCCCTTATCACCGAACCCCATCGCCTGCGCCGCCCAACTAAAATCCCCTCTCCCCTCGTGTCCCCTCAACTAACCAACCCTGTTCACATCAAACAGATCATGGCACCCCTCCCTCCTCCGCAACCAGGAGCGCGTCTGGGCGGAAGAGAAACGCGCCCTCGAGGAGCGCAAGCGCATCGACCAGCTGCGGCGCGAGCGGGACGAAGAGCGCCAGATCCAGGAACTCCAGCGGCTGCAGGAGGACTCGGGCGCGCCGCGCCAGATCCAGCGCGTCGACTGGATGTACCAGGAGCCGTCGAGCGCCACGGGCCACTACTCCGAGGAGATGGAAGGGTACCTGCTGGGCAAGCGGCGGTTCGATCAGATCCTGCTCAAGAACGATGAGAGTCAGTCGCTGAAGAAGGGGGCCGCCGGCGTGGGTGGCGTCGCGGTCGCTGGTGCTGCGGGGGACAGTGGTGCTGGTGCTGGTGCTGCGGGCGCAGGGACGAATCCCCGGGATACCATGGCGAAGGTGTTGGCGGATCCGTTGTTGGAGATTCGGAAGAGGGAGCAGGCGGCGCTGGAGAGTGCGATTAAGGAGGGGGTTCGGAGGGGGTCTTCGGCGGTGGGAGGGGCTGGGGCTGCTGCGGTGGGGCATAGGGAGAGGGAGAGGAGGCATCGGCGCGAGGGGAGTAGGGAGAGGGAGAGGGAAAGGGATCTGAGGAGTAGCAGGAGGAGTAGGAGGTATAGCGATGAGGAGGGGAGGAGGTCGCACCGCGAGAGGGAGAGGTCACCCAGAGCTGCTGCAGGAGATCGCTCGGACAGGAGACGGAGGGATGAGAGGGGCGACCGGAGTTCTCATCATCGCCGGGAGGACAGGGATCGCAGAGATCGCGACTACGACGGGAGAGACCCGGACCGCGAGCGCGGCGACAGAGACGGCGGAGAGAGAGAGTACTCTAGCAGACACCACCGCGAGCGAGAGGACCGCTACGGCCGTTCTTCCCGCCGGGATGCGCCCCGTGATCAATCGCCGTCACCCCGACCTGATCGCCAGCGCGATGACAGACGCCGCTCTGATGACCGGGGAAATGGTGCTCGTCAGGACGTCCGTGACCGAGATCGACGAGAGAGATTCGATCGCTTCTCTGACAGAAGGGACTACAGAGGACCGAGGGGCTCGTACAATCGTGACAGAAACCTGCGGGATGGCGAAAACAACAACACGGAGCAGAGAGCCAAGGATATGGAGCAAGAACGCCAGCGCAGACTGGCAGAAATGCTTTCCAACGCAGACGAGATGGAGGAAACCCGTCGTCAGCGCATCGCAGAGGTTACCGCTGCGGAACAGAAGCAGCTCGAGGAGGACGAGAAGCATCGCTCCGAGAAAGGTCGTTTTGTGTCGGGTCTTCATCGCCAACTCCAGGAAGACAATCTGGACGACCGCCTCAAGCGTAGTCGTGGTGGACTTGCCCGGTTGGATGATGATGAGTGAGTATTTTTGTTAAGTGCAGCGTTCTACTACTAGTACTACTATGTTTTTATCCAATGATTCCCGGCGTCTTTGGCGCATTGCAATCAATGGTTGACGCAATAATGACAATTTTGCAAACTAGTATCCATACACCTCAGTTCTGCTAGAGGCAGGCAGATTGGGTAGTAGTGCGTAAGAAATGCAATAAAAATTGTAAATCATGAATCCAGTACCCTGACTTCTTTACATTTTGTGTGTAATGTAGTTAAAATGATACATATAATAGAAATGGTAAATAATAAGAGGTATCACAAGTCCCTGCCTGCGATTAAAAAACTGGCATCGCTCAAGGGATGAATGCAAGAAGGGGAAAAAAACCAAGGAAGTCAGTTTCAGTATCCTGGAGAAGGAACGGACGCGGCGATAGTATGAGATACTAGGTAGAGGATATTACAGCAGCAACAGCTCTCCCGTCGCCGCACCACCAGCCAACTGGGGTTGATAGACCTGCTGCTGGTTCTGGTTGACCACATACTGGGTCTGCGAAGCGCCCCCGCCCCCGGCACCGCCGTCCCCGCGACCGCCCAGATCGAGCGCGGCCATCTGCTGACTGCCGACGCTGTTGAAGTAGTTGTCCGCGGCGCTGACGGCGGCGTTCATGTCACCCGCCGCCGCTCCGGTCATCGGGAACCCAGTCGGGTTGGCGGCCGTCGCGGCCGTGGGACTACTGGCCGCAACCTGTGCCGCAGCGGGAATTTGCCAGCCGGCGGCGCTGCTGGCTTCCTCTTGCGGCTTCTGCAGGGCCGGGCTGTACTGCAACCGTCTCGTCCGCGCATTGCGGAAGACCTGCTGGACGGGCTTCAGATACACCGTGGCCAGCGTGCCGACGTTCAAGCACAGCTCCTCGAGAGTCTTGGGGTCGAGTTTCTCGCTCTCCGCGCTGATCGGCGGTTTCTCGCCCATGACGACCTGTTTGGCGGCCGCGGGGTCGGTGGAGAGGAGCCGCCAGTACATGTACCCTCGGTCGCGGAGGTCCGGGTCGTCCGTCTCCTCGGTGCACCACTTCAGAACCTGGGGGACCAGCTGCTGACCCTTGGTTGGGCGTTGGATGAAGAACTTCACCGTTGCGGTCAGGAGGGCCAGTTGGACCTCGATGGTTTCGTCGTGGAAGGTAGCGAGGTAGTCCTGGAGAAGGCCGTCGGAGTTCTCGATGCGGTCCGCGTATTGTCCGATGATCCAGATGATAGCAGCCTTGGCCTCGGGTTCGTCGAGCTCGTCGATGTTCTGGATGACGTTGCTGATTATGTTCTCGTATTGGTTGGGGTATTTGCGGAAGATGTTCCGGATGACCACGGTCGCTTCCTGGACGATGTAGGGAATCTTCGCGTTGACCAGGTCAAGGAGAGTGTCGATACACTGCCGCGCGGCCGACTCGATCTTGATCGCCAATTTGCCAATCGCGCGCACGGCCTTGCGCACGAAATGGACATCGATCTCTGTAGCATACCTAAACATTGTTAGTTGTGTAATCGTCGTGATTTCCAAAGGGCAAACTTACTCCCTGAGCTCTGCGAGCACCACAGAGATATTTTCTTTCGTTGTTAGCATGAATATCAATTCTAGCTTCGTCACTTTGACATAGATCGGATCGTTGTAGTTACAGAAGAAAACGCGGATATCGTTCCGTAGGACTTCCGGCCTCTTCTGTAGAATTAGGATGGCATTACGTAGAGCCAGATACTGTACTTCTGGGGGCTTGGAGAGAAGGGTGACTAAGGGCGGTGACAACTTCTTCGCTAACGAGGTAACATGTCTCTCGTCTGCGATATAGTTCATGAGGTAAAGGATGACCCGGATCGAAGTCAGAACAACGGCAGAGTTGGAATGCGACAAACGGGGAGCAATGCGCTCTGCCAGCAAGAGCGCTTCTGCGGAGTCTTGAGGAACATAGGACATTAGGGCCTCGAGAATGTATGATTGGCCCCACCTATGGATCTTATTAGCAAGGGACTAGTTGCATCGGGTGAAGGAGTAAGTACTCAGAGCAGTCTGGTAGGATCGAAACGAGCTTCGAGGCGCTGGCGTAGTCGATGGTGAGAGAGATCGATTCACTCCGTCCCCAAATATCCACCAAGGAGGCAAGGACGCTGGATACCACCGTCGGGTTCTCGTCCTTAAGCATGCTGTTCAACCGATCAATCAGGTCGGAGCTCTCGACCATCTTCTTATCGTGCTCGTAGAGCTTCGCGACGCAAAAGGCGGCCGTTTTCCGGACGTAGGGATCCATATCCTGCATCAATCGCTTGACCGGTGCAACTGTGGCTTCGACGAACTCGCGGACGTGGACGTACGAGATCGTCCGTAGAGCCAGAGCACGCACGAGCGGGTTGGAATCTTCCATATCCTATGCGCTCGGTTAGAAAACCCATCAAAGTGCACCCAGGTGGGGAAGAGAGAAGGGCATCATCCATACATCGACCAGAATCGGCAAAGCCTTGAGCGCAATATCCGGCTTCGCCCTGGAGTAGTTGACCAAGAACAGGAAGCACCTGCATCATTAAGAGGGAGTCAGCGCCGACTAGTTGTATCCGCATTCGGTTTTCGCCCTCTTGACGTACATCTTTTTGATTTCCAAACTGGGCAGGTTCATGCAGCCGATCACATCCGGGAACAAGGCTACCATATCGTTGTTGCTCATCGTCATGTTTGCGACAATCTTCTTGAGGGCGATCTTCTTGGCCGAATGGTTCTTGTCCTTTTTCCCGCCGCTGTTGAGCTCCTGGCGCAGTTCGGCGACTTTGCCCTGTTTAGATTGAGAGAATGGTAAGCCATACTGCGGACTATAGGGGACCACACTGAGAAACATGGGACCACAGAGAGTTATCTCAAGAGCAAGCGAGATTAAAGTGGGTGAGGTAGAAAGGAGTTCATGGGTGACCGAAAAGAGGTTGCTCCACGGGTGCAAGAAAGGACAGTGCTCGGTTCGTATGGAAGAGAGCCACCGACGAGTGTGATTCGACAGGATTGAGGAGGGGAAGATGCGGAAGGATGATAGGAAGTCACCAGGCCAAGGCCTCAAAGCGACCGATGAGACAAAAGAGCAGTGCACGCGCAAGTACATACCCTTGCGAACAACTTCGCATCTCCCCCGCTGGAACTCATTGCGTCGGAGGGTTATAGGTGACGAATCGGGCGAGGTTCGGTGGCTTGGTACTTTTCAAAACAGGGCTGGCGCAGGGTTTGAAGCTGATGGGGTTTCAAAATTGCATGTGCATATATAGCGACGGTGGTTCGTGTCGGTATGCTAGCTTCGAGAGGGAGGAGATCTTTAGCTGGCCGCAGCTTCCATGACCTTTCGAGAAGGGGGAGGGATGGGTGCTAAAGGAGTCAGCGTCGCACGGAGGAATGAGCGCGGAAGCGGATTGGAGTCCAACCTAGAGTCAATGGGAATTAATCACTGTCTCCCCCAGTTCGATCTGACAGTCGAGAGAGAAATGCAAGTCGAGATTAACAAGATCAAAAGGGGAACGAGCCTCGATCAGGGTCTGGGTTGGATTGAGAATCAGGAGTGGATCGGGAGCCGCCAACTCCGCCCGCCGCTTGTGGAGAAATTCCCAGTCCGGATGGAGGAGGAGGAGGATTGTCATCATCATCAGCATCATCATCAATCAACATTGTTCCAGCTTGCCTTCTCCGCACCTTGCCCATCAACAGCCCCTCTATTACGCTACGCTTGCTTTATGCTCAGCTCCTCATTGTCTTATATCTAAGTCCATAAAACAGACTTGGACGATGGCAGCGCAACCTCTCAATCCGCCTCCACCCCCAGAATGGGTGGTCAGGCTAAACACCCCGATGCCGCGCCCAAGCAAAGAGGCCGCCAAAATCCCCGATCCTCCAGGCTATTCGAAGAAAATGGGCGGTAAAAATGTATGTCCTGTCGTGAATACCCCCTACCCTCTGCGAGGCCTCCGAACTAATCCGGTAATTGCGTCCGCAGCTTGCGCAGCAGTCATCGACCACCGCCGCGCCGACCAAGCCCGAGGATACCGATACCCTGAAGCTGAAGAAGGCCTGGGAGATTGCCCTGGCCCCCTCCAAGCAAATCCCCATGAACGCGATCATGATGTACATGTCTGGCAACAGTCTCCAAATCTTCAGCATAATGATGGTCTTCATGCTCTTCAAGGGCCCGATTCAAGGTCTCATCAATACCAACACTGTCTTCACCAAGTTCGAAACCGAAGGCACGCGGGGCAAGCTTCTGGGCGTCAAGGCCATTTATGTAGTAATGCAGCTAGTCTTGCTTTGCTTGGGTATCTGGAAGGTCAACGCGATGGGACTCTTGCCGTAAGTGGGCTCTCTTCTCGCGCAGCTGCTGAGCTGGTGGATGGCTAACATGACATTCATACAGGACTACGAGATCGGATTGGTTAGCTTGGGAGTCGGAGCGGCAATCGTTGGAGCCGGCTTATTTTGCATTTGGATGAATTGCCCAGGGTGTATGTTCTATATTAGGTACAGGATGTTGGCGCACAGAAAGTATAAATTGGCCGCAGGGTTGATATCAAACAATTATTTCGTGCAAAAGAACCGTCCGGTTGTCTGGGAGCCCTTCGCTTATTGGACTCGTACTAGATGTACGTGTGTAGCAATTACCATACTTTTGTACAGTACAGATGGCCACGCTAGGGCCGATGATTCACAGAATTATCTTAGCTCCGAGGACAATGACCATAAAGTATACTCGGGTATGGAATGTTTAATCTTGCAGCCTGATTAGTCTGGGTACGATCCGCTTTTATATGTAATGATCAAGTAACTGATTACCTTCTAAGTAAGTATAAGTATAGCCGGGACAAGCAAGAGTTGGGCTGTTTAGTAAGGACAAAGATTTACTGGTTATCAGTTTATTTTCCGCTTCTATACGTAATAGGTTATTCATAGTAAATCTCTCTCTACATAGCAGACCTGTGAACTAGCCTGTTCCTGATACTCCGAATTCTTTCTCTCTGCCGTGTATTAGAGGAACCACGAAAGCGATCCCTCTCTCAGATAATTCATATTGAACGGGGTGTGCATACATGCGGAGTCAAGAACACAAACTTAAAGCCTAGACTCTTCGGTGAAGCTCCAATCTATATCTGTCAATACGATCGATGGTATATTTGAATTATTTGATTGTCCTTGTCCCAGAAACCTTTCCAGAAGTTGACGCTGACTCGGGGTCCCAATAGCCACGGTCGATTGCATGGACAAAAGGATCAAAGTATTTGATCGTTGGGCGGTTTTGTTTTTCAAGTTACAGATATACAAGTCGTGTTTTCACTTGCGGGCGTCTAAAGCCTGCTGACAGGCCCTCAGAAAGACCTGGCAAAACTCCCAAACATCAACATACGAGTTGTACAGAGGCGCAGGCGCCACTCGAATCACGTCTGGCTTCCGTTCATCGATAACAACAGCGTGCTCTTCCAGGATCTCGAGAACGCCGTCGAGAAGGCCTGGTGCCAAGCGCAGACTGAGTTGAGCACCCCGCTCTGCTGGGTTCGAGGGTGTGATTATGTCGAACGGTCTCTCCGGAAGTGACTCGAGCGGGTACTTCAGGAGGAGTTGTTCCAAGTATGCCGTTATTTGCAGGGACTTCTCACGGATCTGCGCCATCGAGGTCCGGTTGAAAAGTTCGAGGGAGGCCGCAAGCGCACTTGTATCCAGAACCGACGGGTTCGAGAGCTGGTAACCTGCGGCACCTGTCTGAGGAACGAAGTCTGCCGGGGTGTGAAGTTAGAGCTTGAAGCTTGAGATATCTTTGGGTGCCATACTGTTTTCCATCATAAACCGCGTCTGCTTGTCTCCTCCCCACCAACCTGACAACCGCGGGCGGAAGGGTTGCTCTGCCGTGCCAATCTTATCCTTGTCGACTTGGCCATGCTTCTCGTGGACAAAAAGGGCCGCCATACAGCCAGGACCGCTGTTGAGGTACTTGTAGGTACACCATGCAGCAAAATCCACGTTCCATTCATGCAGTTGCAGGTCCACGTTGCCTGCCGCATGGGCGCAGTCCCAGCCAACCAAAATGCCCTTCGACTGGGCATACGCGGTGATCTTCTCGATGTCGAAATACTGCCCGGTATAGAACTGGATAGCAGAGAGAAGGATTATAGCGGCACTTGAGGCGTGGTCATCGATGACACGAAGAATTTGCTCGGTGGACAAGGTGGGAAATTTGGAGTCTTGGGGTTCGATGAGAACCATGGCGTCTTCTGGGCGAAGATCGTGGTGTTTGATCTGAGACTCAACGGCATACTGTCACCTTGTATGTCAGTGGCTGCTCTTCTGGCCCGCCTAAGATCTGACACGTACATGATCACTTGGAAATGCTTTGCCCTCGATGATGATCTTGTATCGCTCCTTAGTGGGCTTGTAGAAACTCGCCATCAGCAAGTGCAAGTTCGCAGTCAGCGTACCCATTACAGCGACCTCTTCAGGGTGAGCTCCAACAATCGGCGCCATCAACTTCGATCCCGCCTCGTCAACGTCGACAAAGGGTGGAAGCAGCTGGTCATCATGCGGTACAAAATGCCCGGTCACACCCTTAATGGCCCACGCGCGCAAATAGTGGTCAATATACTTGCGAGCATTGCGGGGCTGGACTCCGAGGGAGTTTCCACAGAGATAGATAGATCTTTCCTCAGCCTCCTCGTTATCTATATCAACGAACAATGCCTCTGGTTAATCCATGCTCCATGGAACGGAAAACTCGCTCGTTTGACGTACATCCATCGGGTAGAGCCAAGGTCTTCCTCTTCAGATCACTTTTCGAGGGGATGAGGAATTCCTGTCGGAAGTGACGTAGAGGGTCCTGCGCGTCAAGCGATTGCGCATATTCCCTTGTAAAGTTAGAAAGTGGGGGAGCACCATTTGCGCGCTTTGCGTGCAGATCAGGAAGCATTGTGCTTTATGCTGCGAGCCACTCCTTAATCTTGCGATACTAGACAGGACCACTCAGTAGCTGGTGACTATGAAAGATATGAGAATTCAAACCAAAACCTATGGTCAAATCTCGACAAGGATTAGCTCTTAGAGCACGATTGGCGTCCGGCTCGCGAGTCGGTTTAGTTCCCCGCGATCGGTTATCGGCCAGAAGGCGGGCAACTGCACGGTGATTATTCTGCCGGTGTCTGCCGACAGCCGATTAACCAATGGTGCCACGCCGCTCACTCTGACTAACGGCAGTATCTTTGGGATGATGATATATAATCAATCACGCCGCTTGACAATCTCAGAGGTCAGTGACCACGAAATCGCCGTCAATCCACTAGCCTCTTGGTCTCGGAGAGTTTTACTTTTGAAGATCATCATGTCTCGTCCGGTACTATCATCCGTCGTTCGCCGGCTATCGCGACCTCACTCATCCACCTCCACGTTTTCGCCATCGGCCGCGCCTCCGGTGAACTTCGCCGCATCATTTTGCGACACGGCGTTTTTCCGGTCCAGATTGCGTCCTCTTTCGAAGGCCACAAGAGGCATCTCGTCCCAAAAGCTTACTCCGCGATACTCCGTGCTTTCCAACAATACGATCCGCCAGCGCTACCCTTTCTCCTCGTCAGCGATCCGGACCAACGCGAAGATCTTACAAAACCCCCGAGTTGACGAGGACGGAAAAGAACTCACGATCAAGATATCCCCGCGGGCCGCAGAAGTAGGTTCTATCTTTCTTTCGGCATCTTCCTATTTCAGTATGCTGGGTTGTGATGGGAAGCTGGGTTACTCATGAACCGGACGGGAGTCGGTTATTTGCACCACCCAAGCTATGGCAGTGGCAGGAGGGGGGATCATATGGTACCATCGCAAGAAGTACCATGATCAACTCTTCGTCCAGTACATACGACCACAGGGTGTGGAAAATAGGGCTTCCCGTCCGCTCAGCCGTACTCAAGCCACACGCCGGCCGGTTAGTAGTTGGGTGGGTGACCACCAGCGAATCCCGGCTGTTGTATGTTTTTTTTCTCTCTCGTTCTATTTTATTTTATGATATCTTGGAGCCTGTCGCCGTGTAGCGCGGTTCAAGTCCTTCTTCCGTCTACCCCCTAATTTCTGCCTTTATACATTCACTCGTGAGGTCTCAAACTGACGCTTCGGATTATAGCGGCTCCGTGAGATCACAGACCCGACCTCCTCCCCGTCCGCGACGAAGGAGGAAAACCCCTACGACCACCTCCGGATCACGGTGACGAGCGGCGGCTGCCATGGGTTCCAATATATGATGTCCCTCGAAGCAGCGTCAAAGATTGACCCCGAAGAAGATACCATCTTTGAAGCGGAGGACGCTCCTGCTGGACCTGGCGAGGCCAAAGTCGTCATGGATGAACCTTCGTTGGAGCTGCTTCACGGAAGTACGGTGGATTACACGATGGAGCTGATTGGAAGTCAGTTCAAGATCGTCGACAACCCGAGAGCTTCGAGTAATTGCGGCTGCGGAACGAGTTTCGACGTTCTGGAGTAGGGACGGGGAGCTGCGGCTCATGGTTGTCGGACTTCTTCTGCTTTAATTATGAAGGCGGTCGTGCTCTGTTTCGCCCATGTATCATACTTGGGGTTGGCGTGCATCAAACTACCACACCATAGCTATGCTTAACTGAATAGATTGTAAATAGTATACCCCCACTCCGCTTCTGTTGGGCTTCCAGGCGCGTAAAGGTATTTATACTCGCAGATTTTATGGAGAATTGGAGAAGATTAAATAACGTCATCATCTATTTCATCATGGAATCACTACACCCTTGTGCTCTGCCAGCTGCATTCTTTTGGGTACTGTGCAAGCAAGCAACAAAAAAAAGGCATGATGCACAGCCCAGACCGGACAATGTCGTCGAAACAGTAAGCAAAAACCAAAGCACAAGCATAATGGGATACGCCGCGAATTAATCAAATCCTCGAAAATTTCTTTTGTGTCGACTCCAACCCCGTAACCTGATCGGTTCCAAGGCCCCAACCCTAAGAAAAAGCATGGACATTTGAAAGAAAAACAGCATAGAGGGATAATATGAAGAAAGAAATAAAAGGCATCATAACTTGAGTGGCGGGGTAAGGTGAGAGGACCAGTAGGCAAAGGGGGGTGGGGGTGGGGGTAAAGGAGGTGGGAGGTTAAGCCACCAAGTCACTGTTGACCTCAATTTCGTGCGTCCATAGGGTCGAGTTGCCCGGTCAATCGGCAATAGGAGTGCCGTGTTGTCCACGTGGATACCATCGACCCTCGTGGCTATGAAGACGGAGTGGTCGCATCTCCGAGATCTCAAGCCTCAAACTCTTGCGTCGAAGACGGTGATCGACGTAGTGGGCTGTCAATCTAGTAGACACGAGCGAGGTTGCGAAGGTACCAATCCACAAGGCGGCGTCCAGCCTTGGTCTCACTGACGTGAATGAGGTCCTTCTCGAGGGCGTAGTCCAAATCGTTGGCAATGGCCGGTTCACCCTCCAACAGACCACCCTCAACCCAGCGGACCTGGCGGCTACGCTGCTTGTTGATCAGCAACCAAGAGCGGAGCTTCTCAGGCTCCACCTCCAGGAAGCCAGCCAGCTTCTTCAGGTCCATGGTCGTGTAAAGCTTGAGGTAGGAACGGATGGTAGGGTTGTACAGGGTGTTCTTGACCTCATCCATGAAGATGGCAGTGTGGTGGTCGACCGGGTCAACGTTGAGGGCAGGGTTCTCGAAGTCGGGAGGAGTGGGGCTGATGAACTTGGGGCAGGCCGAGCGGAAAAGCTCCTCGAACAGAGGCAGGGCGTCGGGACCACCGTGCTGCAGGCGGTTGAGCTGCTCGCCGTACTTCTCACGGAGAGCGGAGTGAATGGTGTCATCCAAGCGAGTGGGGTGGAGGGCAACGCAGATAGCGATCAGAGCGTACATCTGGTCGTTCTTCTTGGCGATGGCATCGTAGCTGTTGCCGCCCTTCTGGAAGTTCTTGGTGCGGGAGACGTAAACCAGAATGTGGCTGAACATGCGGATGGCGTCGGCATAGCGACGCATCATCATGTAAGAGAAACCGACATAGTAGTAGGTCGTGAAGTGAGCGGCCATAACACGGGCGAACATGGCCTTCTTGTTCATCTCGATGTCATCAAGAGTCTTCAGGGCAAGGCTGAAATCACCGAGCAAGCAGTGGACACGCAGAAGTCCGATGATGGAGAAGTATCCCAGCATCTTGTACAGAGGACGAGAGCCATATTCCCCAGCGACGGTCAATGGGTCCTCGCCACGCTTGATGGCAGCCAATTGCTCGTTGATTTGCGATCTCTGGATGAGGGAGTAAAGAACGTTAAGGACGGAGTAGCAGCCCCACGTGTTCGGGTTCTCACGCAGAAGCTGTGCCTCCTCCTCGTTGGAGCCGCTGCGAGCGACACGGTTGCGGTAGCGACAGAAAGACTCGAACTGGTAGATAAACTCGTCGATCACATCCCAAGCCCAGTAGTACTGTCAAAAGAAGAAGGTTAGGAGATTTCAGTCCAGAGTGCCGATGTTCACGTCGACCACACAACAACTTTCAACGAAACCTCGACGCGCGGGACGATCTGAACAGAGCGGGAAAAAGAACATACCGAAGGAACCTCCAGTTCAACAGGGCCGTCCGAGTTCAGGATGTAGTGGAAAAGGCTGCAGTAGTTATCGTAGCTCGCAAATTTAGTCTCCAGCGTGGCCTGGTATTCAAGCGGGGTCGCGGCGGCGGCCAGCTGTGCTTGAAGATCCTGCGCCTGCGAGCCAGCTCCAAGAGATGTAGTCCGGTCCAACTCGCTCATGCCATCATCATAGTTGACCTGCTCGCGATAGTCGTTGACAAGGGCCTCCTCCTCAACATCGGACTCGTCGCCCAAGTTGGGGTGTTGGTTGGCGCGCTCTTCGTAGGACATGTTTGCAATAGAAAAGCGACTGTTGACGATGATAAGATTTCCGGATGAACGGGGGGCGGAGATGGGCGGAGAGAGGGAAGGAGGGGGGGCACGTCGTCAGGCGTAGCTACTTGGCGTCGGCGTGTGGGATTTGGATTGTTTCGGCGGAGTTGAATTTTGAGGGTTTTCGCTTGGACGGATTTGTGCTTATCTTATCTGTGCATAGCTGAGTGGCTGACTCATCTATGCAGCCGACAGATCAGATCCTGCCGTTCGCTACCTAGTATAGACTATCCATTATAAATTTACAGAGCCACTGCCAGTCTTTAGTCACAGATTGTGGCTTATGTTGTCTTCGATGATAAGCATGTAAAGATTACCTGAGCTCAGTTCATTGGAAAACATTAGACAAGCCGGAATCCTTCACATTTGTTGATACTCAACATGCTATTGGTGAATGCATACATATAGTGAGGTACTACCGGTACCTACCCACTATCCTGAAAACCCAGCGTACTTTCATATTCAGCAGGAACACCCAGCAGCTCTTATAACGACGTAGAATCGCTCTGCAGTATTGTGCTTTGAACCATTATACTCTTAGTTGCCGTGATCAAGGAGTATAAAAGGGGTTGTAATACTGACTCCGTCTTTCACATAAGCACGATCATTACTCATTACCCGAAGAATCTGCCAAGCATATATAGGTGGGCGACAGCAGAGATTATACGTATGGTAAGTAAGGATTGTGAAGTGTGAGAAGCTTATTTTAACACCTAGGCAAGATCACATCTGGCCCGTTTGTGGCGCCTTTCCCAGGTTTCCCAAAAACACAAGTTGAATTAATCAGAAAACCCTCATCCATGGCTGAGTTGGCAAGTATCCGAGACATCGAAGCAAAAAGATAAGATTCATGGATATATTAGGAATGAGATGTGGCATGCAGTGAAGGGACGAAGGAGCATGGAGAGGCACGTAAGGTGAGAAGCGCGCCTCCGATTGGGTGGGAAGACAACCGGATACTTCTACCGGCCGCTTCAAGAACCTTGGATTGGAAGCGAGGTGGTATTGTCCTCTGTCCAACCTACTAACCTGTTGACCCTCCGCAAGGGGCCTAAGGCAGAGAGTGCCTTACTTTCATCCAGGAATGTTGGGGGAGAATTAATACAGTTACTCAGTACAATGACTCACGGTCCAACAAAGGAGAAGTAATGTCCTCTCAGCCTGATTCTTCAGAACACGGATTCACGGATAAACCCTGAATGATACAAGGTGTCAGGATCTGATAACCGCAGCGTTTATCGTTCTCCTTGAGAACTACCTACACTTTGAAGTTCTACTGCTTGCCCAATTGGATGCTCCAGACCTGGTTTGGTGAAGCAAAAGTGATAGCGTCAACAATTGACTACTAGCAGGGCCCAGCCGGTCTAGTAGGTCGGATTGAATAATGTAATGGATATGGCATGTAAGTTAGGTCAGTGTAACTAGTAGTAGTAAATAGTGCTACCTGCAGGCACGACCACGGCCTGACTCGTGTTTCTCTCCCTTTTTCTCCTACGAGAAAAAATAAAAAAAAAGCAAGGGTCACCTACCGATGGAACTCCCGTCCATAATCTCCAACACACACATACGCCCACACGTACACAGGCACACGCACACATATCTTGCAGGGTAGGAAGGAAGTTCGGCCACTGGACAGAATCTTCCGGCCGGTTAAAGCCAAGTATAAAACTTGGAAATCCGAGTCTGTGGAGATGAAGGACAAGAGCATGTGCCCCTTCCGCTTTCCGCCAACCAAGGTTGCTAGTGCCACTGTCGCTCCAGAGCTCATTATTGGGTGTCCCTTCTTCGGAAAACTTATCCTACTTGACTGTCATTTGTTCACACTTCATTCAGCTTAGATGTCAGGCCTCAGCCCTGGGTTGGGGGTCTCAAACTTCTCCTCGCTGCTACACTCCAATTTTCAATCACTCTTTCTCCCTTCTCCCTTTTCTATTCTCCAGAAGACTCTACTCCGTGCTCGCTTTATCCACGCAATCTCCCTCTTCCCCTCGGAATTCACCGTTCAAGGCCCTTGATGCAGACCTGCAATAGCGTGGCTACTCTTATCTCCATAAAACACTGCAAAGGCCTCGTCACGACTTCAATGAATGAGTTCGACTTCGATCGGGGAGACCATTGCCAATAGTGGCGGTAGCGTGTCACTCTGGTTCTCCAGAGAAATGCCACCACGGTGCGACTCGCGGCTGTCGCGAGTGCACACAAGACAATAATCCAGGAAACCTCGTCACAACCATACCTGGGCTTGACGAGTCTTCGGTAACATCCTTTCTGCTTGACACGAAACTGATGTCACAAAGTGTGGTGTCACAATGCGTGATGCCACAATGCATGATGCCACATAACCGGCCGATCTCACCGGGTTTATGAGTGAATCTCTGCGTCTGTCCATCTTGTTGACAGTACCTGCTGGCGCTGGCTCACAGCCAGTCGGACGCATTCATACCTCTGCCTTTTAGCACCTCGTACGCTTCTTGTGGTAAAACGACATTAGAGGCTTCGATTATTCGTTCGAACTGGAGACACATCTGCTCCGCCAGAACGAACCTTGTGCTGCACGCCGCCATGAACCGGCATAGGTCTATCATTGGCTCCCACGACTCCTCCTCCTCAATGAAGACCAGCAAAGCAAGAAGACTGCTATAGACAGGCTCTAACATTTGTCTTGGTACTCGACGCAGTCCGAATCTATCTTCAAATACACCGAGATACTCGACAATCTTCTGTGCTGGCTCGAGCCGGTATGAACGGATCTGCTCGGGGGTTGCTTCCATACGCTGGTGATCCCAGAGATTTTCGAAAAATAGCAATATTGTGTGATGATATTTGATACTTCATAAACGGTCAGAGAGGTAGGGAGTGACATTCCTGCCGGGGTTCTTACTGCACAAGTAGGACGTGTGGAAGCTCTCGTTGCTCAACCTCCGAAGCTGGTAGGCCTTCTATCACGAGTCGCAATTGATTCATCAAGTCACCAGCCGTTGCTTCCATTTCTGATTTCGTCATATCCCATGACTCCTTGAACAAGAACTCCTGAATCCTCACAGAGATTTTTGCTAGAAGGACCGTGCGGTTGAAAGTTGCACTGAGTTGGGCAGGCAGTTCTTGGAAATCATCCTTCTTAAAACGCGGGTATGCACACCACACGATTCCTTCATTGAAATCACACGCTGTGTCAGGGTTACACCACGGAGGCTCAAGATCTGGGGCCCTGCCGCGCTCGAATGACATTTCCCTGCACGACTTAGCGAAGTGAGGCAAAATGGAATTGACATTCTTACGAGTTCATTATGTACAGGCCCCAGGCGGCAACTGCATAGACATGTCGGGTCCTGACCGGCGTGTGTGATCTCCAATGCCTCCTCGGGGAATGGAACAGTCCGATGTCTTTGGCAAGTTGTAAAGCTTGTTTTAGCATTAGCCAGCTGGCTTGTCGTTGGCCCTGAAATTGCAGACTTTCCGTCATCAGTCTGTGCACATATAGAGCAAACGCGAGTCTATGCAGCATACAAACGGCTCATCAAGGTCACTGCCTGAATATTGGCTAATGTAGGCCGGCCCCGCTCTGCCTTCCATAGCCTTTCTGCTTCCTCAAAAAAATCCTGGCCACGTGATGAATCTATGCCTCGAATAGCACAGATTTTTGGGTAGTCGGAATATGTCTGGCAAAATTTAGTCATCGGCAAACAAGAAGAACGAGAATCACCTACTGCTGCGACTGCTAGAATGCTGTTCATGAGAAGTGGCGTGCAGAACTCCGGGTCGCCCTCAAGCCCATATTCTAATTCGATTGCTCCTTGATAGCTCGAGGTTGATCTTGGACAACCCGGGTTGGCCCTCAAATCATCTTCTGAATCTTCAGACTTGGCCTCTGCTGAGATCTCGATATCTGGCGAACGCTGCAACTCTCGCAATTTCTCAATATTCGGGGAGCTTTCTATCTTTGAGGAACTCTCATTGAGATCTGGGGAACCTTGGTCCCTCGCGAAATACTTGATCTCTGAAGGCGGCTCGATCTCTGGAGACATCTCAAATTCTGGAGGTATCTCGAACTCCTCAGATATCTCGAACTCCTCAGACATCTGGAACGCTTCGAACTGTGGTGTAGCCTGTGGGTCGACCGTCATGTCGATCAGGAACAAATCCTGGTCAAGGATCTGGGAAAATGGATGATCCCAAGCGAAGTACAGGGATACGAGATGCGAAACAACAAAGTCGTCAGCGTCGCAATAGGTCCAAGATGATGGTACCTGGTACAAAGGAGTATCGCAAAGCCTCTCTATCGTTAGGCGCATGGTTTTCTCGGGGTCAGAGAGCTCTTTCGGAGATTCACTGTCATCTTCCGCCTCCTCCGCCTCCTCCACCTCCTCCGCCTCTTCAGCCTCTTCACTCTCCGAGTCCTCTGAGCTTGAGTCACTGCTGGACTCCTCCGTGCTGGGCAGCTCAAGGCTTTCAAATGCCGCGGCAATATCTTCGAAGTCACTGCACCGAATGGCTTCCACGATTTTCTGAGTATCAGCTTCGTCTGCATCGCGAATCTTGTTGAACAAGGTGGTCAACAAGCCCTTATAGTGTTGAAGCTCCCCCTGAGTGCGTCTCACGGCGACTTTGCGTCTAAGGTCGAGAGTTTCATCGAAAATGCATGCAACTTTGGAGGTTTGACATGCTTTGCAAGGGGCCGGGCGTCCGCTACACTATAGTCCGCGTGGTTAGTTGAAAGATCGGTACAAGCTAGGTGGAAGCACCCTCACAATGAGCAAGAATGTGTGCGTCTGGAGGGAAGGGTCGCGTTGATGATTACCTTCCTCTTCGCTGCCTTACACGAAGTGCAAGCAGTGGAGTTCTTCCTCGACTTTGCTATTGTTGTCATCGGGGCCGCAAACGCGCCGCGTGGTCCTGGAGCGAGGATAGGCAGAGTTCTGCCCAGGTGATTATGATTCATCTGAGCAGCACGCCCCTTTCCGGCGACGGAGGCGGGGTGGTTGAGAGCCCAGACAGTCTATCTCATCCCTAGGGCTGGAATTCAGGTCGTTCACGATTCACTTGGTCAGCGCCAAAGCAGTTGGGCACATGGACACGCTTCTAAGGACGTGTCTCATCAAGGTACCCAAAGGAAGTTCGCCACAATATTGACCATTTATACAATCTAGCAGACGAGGCAGGTCGATGTTCATGTCATACGCCTGCGAACAAGGCGTGGCCTTGATCATTCAATTGCCGCCAAACAGACGCCCCGCTTCCGGCATGTCAACAAAGGCCATAGTTTTGTCAATACCACGAAATAGAAGACTCTCACGATTGATGGCTGCTAAGAATGTGGAAAACCACCGGGGTGAGCAGGCGCCGATGCAGTTGAAGGGGAAGGAAATGAAATTTGTGCCCAACAGTAGTTGGGATGGCTTGACAGACTAAGAGCAAAAGCCTACACGTGATCGGATCGTCTAAGATCTTTCAACATCAACCATCAAGCTCGGGCACAGAGCGAAGGACTGAAGGCGGAGTAGAGCAAGAAAGATGACAAGCACGGAGCTCGCCTTAGCAGGAAGCAGTTTGGGGCGACGAGTGGATTACGAGGAGTTGGCTGCTGGCTCCAAAAGCGCAAGAATGGGAAATGCCAGAGAGACGAATGACAAGCGAGGGAGGGAGAAAACGAAAGAGTGGCAGAGCCAGTAATCAGCAACGCGAGACAGCCTGAGTGGAAGAAATCAAGCATCTCCACGGATTTCTCTCTGAGGGCCGAATGAGACCAGTGGTTCAATCAATCTCGAAGGTGGGAACGACTGGAAGTTGAGCTTGGAGTTGGAAGCATTAGCTTCGCAATCGCGGTACCAGTTTGATCCGCGACAGGTTCCCACATCGGCTACGTATCAAGACAAGTCTTTTTACGACGCAGACAGGCGCGTCGGCTTTTCGACCCCCGGCCTTTTCCCCAAACCTCAATGAGTCTATCTACGTCGCTTTGCACCACTAACTACTACATCTACCCCTTTCGTGGCGCAGCCTGGGTTGGATCTAATGTCATATTACATCACCGATCAACGTTCTTCGCTGCGAATGGGGGCGCCGTAAACCTACTACCTAGTACGCATACAACCTGATCGATCGACCGCGGGCCGTTAGCCAACAAGAGTGGAAGTTCATTGCTTGCCTAATGTTATCTCTCCATGCTGCATGTGTGCTGACTGCAACCTCTACCTAAGGGTAACAAAAGGGTAACAAAGACATGCACCAGTAGCACTCGCTGACTAGTGCAAGGATCGCAACTCTTCTACACGAGAAAATTATCATAAATCTGCAATTTTAAAGGTTGGGCGAAAGAAAGAGCAGGTAAGGAGACATGGAGAGAATGGATCCGCAGGAAATCAAAGAAGAGCCACCTGGGCATTAAGCAAATCCACGCCATTCGCGCCTCATCACCTCAAGACTCAATATCACAGGTGGAAAAGTTATCCGGAAGGACTAGTGGCGGCCTTGGATTTAGATCGTTCCATTTGAAACCCATCAGGTATACTCATCCTCAGGGCGGATGGGCCAGACTTGACACAAGCGCTGTATCAGGTCTGTGATTAGTGGTAGGTATATGACAGGGAAAGGGGTCCAGATGTTGATTGAAGTCTGGCACCCTTGCCTGATGTGGCCTAGCAAGGGCCTATGGATGCGTTGCATGTGAGTGACAAGCTGGACTTGCTCGCAGCCCCCTTGGTACTTTGATACTTCGGCCTTGTGCGGCGACAACCTGGACTCCAGTGAACGTCATATGCCATGTGGCGAAGTGGCTGAGTGGTCCGCGGCTTCTTTAGATCATAGCACAAACAAGCGACAAGCTTGAAAATTGCTCGCACCACCCAACACAAAATGGGGCGGGATCCGGTTCACCTGGATTCTAGCGGCTAATGTTCGGGTTGTCTGCCTCAGGGTCTCTTTTAAACTTATCCAACCGTGCCCTGTACTACTTCGGTTTCAACCATTTACGGAGTACTACCGGCTCAACGGCTCACGGCTCACGGCTCACGGCTGTCTTACTGTACGGGGTACCATGGCAAACACTATCGGACTTACTTACCAAGTCGATGATGGAAGACCGGAATTTATGGGACTTGGGACCGGTCCCTGCCGGAAAATCCAGACTCGCCTCCAATCAACCACCTGACCTGGTGGGCGCGATCGTCTTCGCCTCATGGCGATCATATGCCCGACTGCCAATAAGGGGCATTGGGACTCGGGCCTTGCTCGCTGCGGTAAGCTTGAACGGCCAGCTCGTGGCATCTCAAATGGGAACTTTTTCGGCAAGAGCATTATCTTGTTTCTTATTTGAAGTCTCTAGGTATGGTAAGGCAATAGGCAGGCGAATCGACGTAGGCTAGAGAGGAATAGGTATGTAGACTAATATACTCATACTACTCTCAGTATGTAATAAAAACTGAATGCCGGGGAGTGGGCAAAGATCCATGATCCAGGATCCATGATCCATAATTAATATGCCGAATATTGCTCTCTTTGAGGTGGTCCGAGCGGGCCTTAGCCAGCTCTCGAGTCACAGGCTCAGCTCCGTCCGCCTGCCTATCACAGTAAATAGTCTTAATTCTGCAGGGCTGAATGCTTATAATCAGAAGGCGGTGACTTGCCCGGCACTCGGAAGGACTAGCGGGCCCCCGAAGGCGCGCATCTCCCTCTTTGGTTTCGCGTGCCAAACGGAGCTTAGTTCCAGCCTACAACATATAACTTGGTTACGTACTGTTCTCCAGTGCAGACTTGAGTTCCCCTCCTCCTTTCGTATACAAAGAAGCCTGCCTATGATTCTCGGGCCAGGTTGAAGCGGCAAATTGCTCTAGAACTATGTACCATGGGTGCCAATCAGAGGTCTTTCCTCCCTTGGTTGACGCTGGTGTTCTCTCGATTGTCGTCGTCTTTTCTTGTGGGGGTAATTATGCGGGAATACATCTCCGACATTGCATGGCTTTCGTTAGACCAGCCTGCTGAGTATGTATGGTAACCCTTCCCCCCCCCAATCCTAAACATCCTCTGTACAAGTTGGGTGTCTTGGGAACCAGACAGCGAATCATGAAGCAACAACCCCCACGCGCCTCAAGCCCTCGTGCAAAGAAAGGACCAGGACGACCAGTGAGGTCACCCTGCTTGCCTAAAGCCAGACTACTGCATGGAAGGGGCATCAATTATGGATTACGGCTGTACAGGAAGCATAGCCGACAAGCGCTTAGCGTGGATAGCTCGATATGCATCTTGCATCACATCCCTTCCTAAACCCCCGCATGGAACCAAACATTGGGTTTGGTTACATATTGGAATCTTGGTAGCGGTCACTGATCGATCGATCTGAGACAGCTATGCAGGCTTGTTGGGAGGCTTTTTTTTTTTTTTTTTCCCTTATACGAGTAGGAGTGGCCATCTGGAAAAGACAATATCACTCACTGATGCACTATACATTGTATTCTGAGAGTCTGTAGTCTGTGTCAACAGGTGAAGTTGTACTGCACAGTACGGAGTACATATGAGTAGCTATGTGAAGGCGATTAAGGGTCGGCTACTGTAGCAACCAGTTCTGACTCGGTTTAGACTCCACGTTTTATTGATCATGAATCAAGTGCTTCACGTACTAGACACTAATCAATGTTGTCCCACTGTTTGCTTCAGATGGGTACGTGTGAAATTGCAGTGGCTTCTCGCTTGTTTGCTATCTTGTTTTTTCTTTTTCTCTGGACTCTGTTCGTTCTCCAATGACAGGGCTTGATCGTGATCGATCGAAGGAGACAGGAGGTAGTGTATGTTCTAGTTGGAATGTCGGTCTGATTCCCTGGGAACACACGCAAGGGTCGGCCACACATTGATCTCTGAATTGGCTTCTACACAGTATTAAGCATTTGGAATACGGGCCAGTAACCTGGTACCTTGCAAAGATTAAGCTTGGTTGGAAAGGGAGGGTCACAGTACGGAGTCCTGGATGCACCGACTCCACACACTGTTTGAGTTCGAGTTACACCGCCTCTTTCTACCAGACCTATCTCACCCAGCTCTTGGCGGTGAGCATTTGGCCCTTCTTCGCAGGCTTGCTTAGATAAATTCTGACTAACTAGTTACTCTGTATTGCAGTGCAAACCGCCCGCGGCTATCCTCGGTCTGGGCGGCTGTCGAGGGGCACCGATGGCGGAGCGGACACAATTGAGGCGGGACAATGAATCCTCCAGGGCCCATCTTCAGAATCACTTGGAAGCACAGAACGCCGTTTCAGAGAGACAATAGCACCATCGGCGGAGACGTTAACCGATGATAACCTATCGCGGGCACGAATCCTGTTGCTCAGGGTGCCGATTCAACCGTTTCTCAACCCATAGATGGACCCAATGGCTGTTGCGAATTCGGATATCGAAGGCGAAAAAACGTCCCAGACCAAAGGAAGACTCGGCTCGCCGAAAAGTTTTCGTTGCCTCCGGTCTGGCGTAGAAGTTCATAAGAGTAGACTAGACACATTCGACGTATTGTAGAGAGTGTGTATCTGGTTCTCTCTGTCCTCCCTCAACTTTCCTCCGTTCGCCCTTGTTGTCTCCCACTCAGCGACCGATCTTGGATCTTGGCCCAAGCTGTAGCCCGTCGAGTCGCGTCCCCGAACTCCGTTCCCGCTGGTTCACTTTGAAAAGTATCTCTGTGGTGACTCACCAACTTTCTGCGGGTTCATATTTCAGTATCAATCGGACATATCCCCTTCCCCCCCAGAGCGTTGCCTCCAGATCCAGTCTTCTCCGCATATTACCCTTTCCGACCAAAAACTCAAGTGATCATGGGTTCTGCTGCGCCTACTCTCGCCGAGCTTGATGCCTCGTACATCAAGGTGACTCGTTCGACCAATCTCCGCGATGTGCCTCTCCCCGGATCGCCGGAGGAATTGAGCCATTCCCACTGCACCGACCATATGGTTACTGTCCGGTGGACGGCGAGCAACGGTTGGGATACGCCTGAAGTGAAGCCCTTCGCCAACCTGAGCATTCCCCCCACTGCTTCGTGCCTGCACTACGCCACCGAATGCTTCGAGGGCATGAAAGTATACCGCGGCCAGGATGGCAAGTTGCGCTTGTTCCGACCCGATCTCAATGGAGAGCGCTTGGACGGTAGCTCCAAGAGGGCCTCCCTCCCTGGCTTCAGATTCGCCGAATTGAAGCACCTCATCGCGAAACTGATGCAGATCGATGGACCACGTATGAATATCCCCTACCGTATTCCCTGCCCGACGGTCAATTCATGCATAGCACTCCGCTGACACAAAGTTCTTTCTCTCTTGCTGCAGGCTGGCTCCCCAAGGATCAACCCGGTCGCTTCCTCTACCTCCGCCCCACGGTGATCGGAAACGGCACCCAGCTGGGCGTACAAACCCCCAAGGAAGCTCTCCTGTTCATCATCGCGGTCCCCTGGCCCGACCCGTCGAAGAAGAAGCAAGAGGAGGGTGCCCCCCACGGTCTGAAGCTCCTGGCCTCCCAGCCTGACACGATCCGCGCCTGGCCCGGGGGTTTCGGATATGCCAAGCTGGGCGCCAACTATGGGCCGTCGCTGGCCGCGCACGGCCGGGCGCAGGCGCTCGGATTCGACCAGGTGCTCTGGCTGTTCGGCGAGGACCGCAAGGTCACCGAGGCCGGCGCCAGTAACTTCTTTATCGTCTGGGACAACAAGGAGACTGGCAAGCGGGAGTTGATCACTGCGCCTCTGGACAGCCAGTTGATCCTGCCCGGTGTCACCCGTCGTAGTGTTCTGGAGCTGGCTCGGACACACTTCGCTCAGCCCTGCGGCAAGCTTGCGCCCGTCGAGGTCGTGGAGCGGGAGTTCACGATTGGCGACATCGAGGAGGCCTGGAAGGAGGGGCGCATTGTCGAGTCTTTTGTCTCTGGTACTGCGGTAAGTGTTCATGGGGAGGTCATTCCAGTACGGTTTGAGTGAAGCAACGTCACTAACATTGGGACCAGTTCTTCATCACCCCTGTCAAGCTCATTCGCAACGGCAACGTCGACATCGACCTGCTGACTGCTGGCGCCGAGCGCGCAGGCTACGCCGCTCAGATCAAGTCGTGGCTGGAGGCCATCATGTATGGCAAGGATGGCCAGGAAAACCACAAGTGGGGCTTTGTCATTGAAGATGAGATTGAGAACTAGGCAGAGAATTCTGGTTATGGCAAGGTCCTGGAATGTTGGTCATGCAGGGAACGATTGCCACGTGGGGTCTGTGTAATGGCGGGGTTGGGCTGCGTGCCTGAAAAGGTGGTGGACTGTACATAGTGCTGTGTTCTGCTTCTGATATAGAGCTAGATCCTAGAGACGAATTTCCAATGTTTTATGACTCTGACTGCTTCCGTTTTTTTTTTTTTTGTAATATGCGAGGATCATCGGCATAATTGAGTCTTCTTGTAGTTCAGAACCCTTCGATTCGACTTTCTGTTCCATAATCTCGTGTCAACTATTCATTATCACATACACCTCCCTGTATACAGGACATGCTATCCACTAGATTTACATTGGCCATGGACCATTCAACAGCTCCAGCTGCTAATTCAGGTTCTCACTAGAATCGCTATCGTTTATTCCAGTACCCTCTCCAAGGTCCACAACCATAGGCGCATATTCTCCAAGCTCCTCTTCTTCATTGTCACCCTCCACCTCCAGCTCAACCTGCTCACCATCCTCCAGTTGAACCATACCTCGTCGAAGAATGACGTCGCGATTGAGCTCCCAATCATACTCTTCTTTGACGAAAGCTTCGAGCTTTTCGAACTCGGTCTTCACCTGGGAGTCTGTGCCTTCGAGAACCTCATAGAGCGACTTCCGGAACTTCATCAGCAACTTCCGCAAGAACGCGCCGCCTTCTTCTCCATCGAGGTCAAACAAACCCCCCTCTACATCGTCACAGCGACGCAGCTGCAGCAAGAGCAAGCGGAGCAGATCGCTCATGAACGCCTCCCGCTCACGGATCGCACTTCGACAAGTGAGAATCAGCTCCAGCAATCGCTTCCACTGCTGCAGACACGAGTAATTCATCAGAGTCATGATCATCAAGAAAGAGAACTGCAGCTCGCCGAGCAACTGGCCTTCCCCCACCCTCTCCCTCTCCCGATCACTCCCAGCATCCTGGGCCCCTGACCCCGATGAAACCCTGTCAATCAAGTTCCCCAAAGCCCACGAACGATCCTGGGCGGCCTCAGTCCTCTCCCTCCCAATCGCACCCTCCCTCCACGTCCTCTTCAGCTCCACCGGAACGAACGAGAACTCCCGTTCCTTCTCCCCGGTAACCCTTTCAATCGCACTCTCATCCAACCTCTGCTTCCCGCCTTCTTCTTCTGCCTCCACCGTCAACCCAGGAATAGCATCACTATCCCTCAGCGCAGAACTCGCCGAGGTAACCATCCACCTCGCCCTCCCGTCGACATCCACAGCAGGAACCCCGACGATCCGATCCAGCAACCCCGCCGTAATCCTATCCGTCAAACCCAGCCAATCCCTCCGCCCATCCTGCTCCTCCTCATCCTCCTCCTCCCCCTCTACCTCCTGATCTTCAAACCGCACTCCCCGCTGCTGCTGCTTCTGCTGCTGCATCGCCAACATCGCCCCCGTCACCCGACTCCGATACCGAAACAACCCGCCGCGCTGATAAACCGCCCCCAGATTCGCCTTCTGCCGCATCGCCTCCTGCCGATCCGCATCGCTCTCGGCGCGCAACGGCGCGAGGGTTTCACTCTCCGTATCCCATTTCCAAACGATGATATCCTGGCCGTTTTGTTGTCGTCGTTGTTGTTGTTGTTGTGCTTGAAAAGAGACGAGTGCGCCGGGATTCGTATCAGCCGCGGCAGCGGCAGCATCGAGGTCCCCAACGTAGAACCAGCTTCCGCTGCGGAGGGAGAGACTTTCGGTCGTGCCGGTGTAGAGGAAGTGCCACCCCGTGGGGAGGTCGCGGATGCCGTGGAAGTTGGCGGTCGAGGTGAAGGTGAGCAGGTCGATGCCGACGAGGGTCTTTGGGGGGAGGTGGGGGAGGAGGATGGTGGGGGATGGGGTGGTCATTGTTGGCTTGTGGAAAGTTTCTTGGTTTTTTTTTTTTTTTTTTTTTTTTTTTTTTTTTTTTTAGAAAAAGTGAGAGCTGAATATATCTGAGTGTGTTATGAGCCCTGGGCAAAAAATTCATCCATTATGTATCGAGTAGCTCGATGACGAGTCGAAAACCCCCGCGACAAACTAAGGTGAGGCCCAACAAACCAAAACAAGAGAAGCGCGTCACGGGGACAACCGCGCTAGCTCAGGCATTAAGGCATCAATACGTAGTGAGCGTATTTCTGTAATTGCTGATACCGGGGGATGAGCCGGCGGCGCTGGTACTTACTTTTTG